ACAAGCAGCGGAACGAACACTATGTGACCCATATACGGAAGTATCGATGTTTGAATTTTTCATTACATCTATAATCCACCTTGAGACTGGGTCTCTAGAAACCTTCCTGTGAGGCTTCACAAAACTTTTGTTCTTTCGCAAACTTTCTGTTCTTAACAGATATTCCTTAACTGTTGAATAGACACAAAGTCTCCTATCTGGAGGGGAAGCTTTTAAATACACACACTGTACACTTTTTCCCGCCTGCTATGTTTCTATAAACCACAAAGTTCGAAACAATACTCAAACTTAGTTTTTACTAGACTTTGTATAGGTATCAGATGGATAGAATGAACTCGGAGAGCATTTGTTAATGCTATCAACATAGTAAGTTTCATAGTTAGTTGTTTCAGGCTCAAGTTCTTCAAGGGAGAAAGTTTCTTTAAGAACACTAAGACGTCTCCAGCGTCCCACGTAACTAAGGGCCGTATGCTGCGCTTGAACTTAACGCTAAGTCAGACTTCGGGTAAAGTCAGACTTTCTAAAGTTTCGCCTGAGCTCGACTTTGTAACTAATTCATTTCGGTATGCATGGCTTCAACTTAAACTTATCTTTGCTAAGTTTAACTTCTTCTATGTATGTACGGAACACCAACGATAACTCAAAGAATTATAATTTAACTTCTAATACATTTGTTAATAGAAAAAGTGATTGATACATATTTTAACTAAAATTTTGATCGGACACTTACGGACAGCAAGAATTTGGCATGTTTCTCATGTGCTTTTCCGTGGGGTCTTTACTATAAATACGCATCAGGGTCATTACAAATCATAATTTGATTGAATATTCAAGATGTCAGATATGTCGTCGCCTCAGAAAAACCAAGAAGAAGACACCCCAACTTACTGTAATTTAACAGAAATTCCTTATCGATATAGTGGATGAGTTTAAGGGTGTATTGGAGTCGAAACAAAATGATATTCGGTCCATACAAAGGAAGGAAAAGGCGGGGAGAGAAATAGAGGCGAATTTTTGTTCCATGACCACTTGCTTTAAACGAGATCACAAGCAGTTAAAGAAATGCTGGAATAATTTAAAAATGAAGGCAAAAAAATCTGAAGCGATGGAAAAAAAGAGAGAAAGAAAACTGGTGGTGGTATAGTGGAGACAATGGATTCTAGTAACTCAAATCAGAAGACGTGTGCTATGATACCGGCACAAATGCACCCTCTGCAGAATGACTTTGATAACGATATGGATTTCCATCAAGATAGCTTCACTTTGGCTCAACCGACGTCAGGTTAGTTAAAGGGATACAGTCCTCTGATTATACATAAATTGAACTTCTCAAATCCGCAAATCCAATTTCAATAAAAAGTAGATGTCAATATGTCACTTCGATTTTGACAAGCGCTGTGGAAATTTCGAAAGAAGATAAATTACGAGACTGATTTCACGTTTCGAAATAAGTTGCATATGAATGATTCGAACTGTTACGTAGCACCTTACTTTAAACAACTCCTTTTGCACTGGTGCTGAATTTTTCATAAATATATGATTATATTTTACGTAGCTAATTTAATTTTCATTTCTATATTCAACACATTTATTTATATTTACGCGATCCACATCAGCATCAGCCACTGTTACCAGTGGGACATTGTGTCCAGATACAAATACAGTTCCAACACAGAAATCGCCATGGGTTCCACGTGTACAGCCAATTGTTCCAATTATCCCCGAAAACTGCGTAATGTCGTAAAAACCTCGTTGTATTGTTTTTATTTCATTTTCATCTGGAAACGTAATAACCTCGGGCCTATGAATAGTCATAGCCCTTGATACCAATTTCACTATTCGGGAGACACTGGATTGATGAACGCCCATTATGTCCCCCACGTTTATTTGGAAAGAGTCACTAGCATACCAACGAAGACATACCAATAACTGTAGTAATGGTGGGATATGTACAGTTTGGTCACATCGATGATTGAAATCATTTCAAAAATATGCAGAACGCCATCCTTTGAAAATCTTATGCGTTTTGTAAATTCACTCTCGTCTAGATCTTCCATAGGATTTGAGCGGTCTGTCAATCTCTTCTCCACATGGTAAATATCTATAATTTGGTGTAATTGGTTGAAATAATCTTCCATTGTCACCATTTCAATCGCAAACGTATATAAAGTACGGCTGAAGTCTGCTACCACCCTATCTTAGACTTTACTTTAGTTTTGTCCACGAAACGCTCGAGTAAAGCATGGCTTACATCAAAGATCGAGCGCAGCATACCTAAAGTCTGACTTAAGCTCGACTTTGAGTAAAGTATGACTAAAGTTCGACCGCAGCATACGGCCCTCAGTGTCGCGGGCGAGCGGGTCTAAGATTAAACACACTCTGAAAAAATTTTACTATCACTGGATGCTTTCCCAAGGAGTGTCCGTCAATCACTATTCCTGTGGCTGATAACGCCGATCTAGCAGTGTTTATTGAGCTATAACTTAAGCCTGAATCAAATAACAGTGTCAAAAAGTTATTATATGTTCTAAAGAGGGTTGAAGGCAACTAATTTTCCTTTCACTACTTTATCGTAGCCATCTTTGTATGAAGTTTGAATATTGTTTCTTAGTGCCCTCTTTCCAAGAGGCCAGGAGTATTGTTGTAGATTTTTCTGAAAGCAAATCAATCAGGACTAACTTCTTCTGCAGGGAATGGTGTTGATCTGGTTTGTTCGGGAGAGTGAGTAACTTCTTCACTCGAGGAATTATTACTGGATTGTCTATCAGTATTTCCATAATTTGAGCAAACCAAAGTTGAGGTGGCCAGAGAGGTGCGATGACTATTCCTGTAGCCCCGTCCTCTAGTATCTTCTTGATACAACGAGTCATTAACCTGAAAGGAGGAAACATATAAATTAGCTTAAAATGATTCCGGTCAATACTGAATGCATCCACATAAGTGGAATCTGGGTCTGGCTTCTAAGAGGCAAAAGGGGCCATCTGTTTATTATGCCTTGAGGCAAATAAATCAACCTCAGGTGTGCCAAACCACCCACATATATTTTGGAAAATGTCAAGTTTAAGTTTCCACTCTATGCTATCATTAAAAACTCTTCAGTACCGGTCAGCCTCGGTATTGTCCTTTCATGCAATATGAGAGGAAGAAATCCACAAATTACGGTCTTTACACTAGAGCCATATTGTTGTGGCTAACCTGTTCAATGGTTCAGATTTGATTCCTCCCATATTATTTATATAACTGACTGAAGTAGTATTGTCACATAATATTTTAATATGCTTAAAACGCACAACATGCTTTTCAAAAGACTTCAAAGCAAACAGAACAGATAGCAACTCTATGTAATTGATATGATGCATTCTTTCATCGTCATTCCAACGTCCACCAGTTTCAGTGGTTGGTTCTAGGATGGCACCCCACCCTTCAAGTGACGAATCAGTTGTTATAGTCACATCAGGGTTACCATGCGATATTTTTCGCGTTTGTGTGTGTATATTAGAGCACCACAACGCCAACTCAGTCAAGCATGCTACTATTTATTTTAACAAATATATCAAAGTTACCGTTATTTTCTTTTAAAGCTTTATCTTGCTTTGCTCTAAATTTCGATAAAACAGAGGGCCATAGTCAACTGCAGAGAAACTGGAAATCAATCAGCCAATAACATGGGCTAAATCTCTAATTGAAACAATATCTTTCTTAGACATTCTGCAGCTATGTAATTTTTTCTTCTCTTCTGGAAGAAATACAATCATATCATTAGAGTCATTACCTAGAAATGTTATCTGTTGTGTTGGATTGAGGGGTGGACTATGAACCCCAATCTTTGCATAAGACTAACAGCTTGATCTAAGCTATTCTTGCATTCAGACTCAGTCTGTCCTAACAGAAGACTATCATCAATGTACCCTGCACTAAGAATGCCGGAATTTCGGAGTGTAGCGTAGACTGGTTTCATTAGTTTCGTAAAAAGCAATGCGCCAAAGAGTATCCATTGGGTAAGCAAGTGTATTGATATCATTTACCCTGCCACTTGAAACGAAAAAACTTCTGATGCTCTTTAGCTATTCCGACTGAATAATAAGCATGACGAATGTCTATAGAACTCATAAAACAATCTTTAGTCACCAGATTCAAGGTACTTTCAAAAGTATCCATTTTAAAATGTCGGTAAGGTATGAACTCATTGAACTTTTTCAAGTTCAAAATCATTCTCAGCTCACCATTTTTTTTCGGTCGGACAAAAATGGGAGACACAAAAAGACTTCAACAATAACATTATTACCGAGCATGTTCTGCTTCTTCTGAATTAATAGCTTTAGTTTCTACTTCGTTAAATTGTGATTCATAAGTAAACCAATTTTGGATTGGGGGTATTCTATTTATCAATTCTATATGACAATGATTAACTATGTCCAAAATGTGAACATCACAAATTATTTTTTCCCAAGCTAAGGAAAATTTTGTTAATCAACCAGCAGAAAAACTCACCTCATTTTTTGTGCTTATTTGTTTTTCTTCTCTTTCTGGAGTGCCCCATCCCCCGCTTCTAGTTTTTTGAAAACTGTCTATTTTATGAACCAAAAGAGTAATTGCCTCTTTTACTACCTCTCCATAATTTGCCACCTTGTGCAAATAGTTTTCTCCGTAGTCTTCCTCCGGAGAATTGTTGAGAGGTATTCTGCAATTTGTGCCCTATGCGGCTACAGTCTGCTATTTCTTTCGCCAGTTTCAGAACGTCATCTCCAAATAGAAATTTGGTGTATGGCTGACTCTGGGCACATAGAGGGGAGAATTCTTGCCTTAAACTCTCTTCTAGTAAGATTGATCTGTCTGTTTGAATGGCCCAGCAAAGAGAGGTCATCATTTAATTTTCCAATTATGTTAGGCATATCCTCGGACAGCAAATTTGGTGTACGGGTCAGGTCTGCCAAGCTATCAACGGCCTTAGTAAGAACAATGGCAGACTTAACGATCGATGCTTGAACAGCCTTATTTTTCTATCTGATGTTTTTGATGTCCCATACTAGTTGATTGGTTTTTGCTGTGACTAACGCATCACAATTTGTTGGCCTGTCTGTGGCTTCATCTTTTATAAGCGCATCATATTGGTCATCGCTCATTCCTTGTCTGAAAAGTTCATTTATATTATTGGCCAAAACTTCATCCACAGTTTTATCAACTATTGAATCAGACGGCTTGATCCTTTTTGACATCGATGAAAAGCAATTTTCAGTGGTGGTGTGATTACTAGTTTGGGCTGGTGACTCTTCAACTTTCCTTTTCAAAAGTCCAGGACTTCCACCAATGTCTGACAATTCGTCCTCATCATTTAAACATTCCTTGGCCTGGGGTCTGTCATCTGGGCCATCTTCAAAATCATAATACTCATCATCATATTCACAGGACATGCCTTCTAATTTCACAAGTCTGGCTGCCTGCTGTGCCTGTTCATCTCTTATATTCTTCAAAATATTAATGATCTCATCATTTCTATTGTCTTCAGTTTTAGATTTGGATGAAGACTTCTTAAATCGGTTCTGTGCAGGCTGAATTTGAGATGTGTTCGTAGTCGTACCGATTGTCGAAGTAAATGGCAAGACCGAGGTCTGAGATTGTGAAATCGAGCCCACACCTTTAGTCCTGTCGTGAGAGGTGGATCAGTTGACAGAAGAGTAAATTCCAAATCTTCCCAATCAAGTTCGTTATTTATGGACGAATTGCTTCTCAAGTTATTTTTAACTTTGTCATCCGCCATATTGCCGAAAATGAGACCACGTCTCTTTCGACGATTGTCGTAAAATAAACAACAACTCGTACGAGTTGAAGATATTATTATGGTCGTAGTCGTAAGTAATTATAAGGACCAAAGTGACTTTCAATGTAACGTGAACTGGTAAAAAGGGAAGCCAAGTTCTATCTACGTAAATTCGAAAATAATTTGCGGCAGTGAAGGCCACGTCTTCACACTTCGAGAGCAAGAGCTACAATGACAATATACGGCACGTGCTAATATCTCATTTAAGACCGGAAGTGATTTGATGAAAAAGAATTTGTGTTGATATTCGCAATATTTCATCAAATGGATTGGTGATCATGATAGAAATGACAATTATTTCTGCATTTGTATTGCTTATGTATATTGGTTATATCTTCGATCTACGATTTAAGTACTATTTATAGAACTAGCGAGACTGAATTCAAAATGCATCAACTACGTGGAGGCGTCATGTCACATGCCTCTAATGGAGCATCCCCCCATTCCCCTCACTGGCGCCGCCACTTGTTTCACGCCCTGCAATACGGGGGAAAAATCCAGTATGTCATACGACATATCTTCCTAATTCACTAGTCCACTTTTTCGATTTCCCATTGGGATCTAAGCCTCTAGCAACAGCTTCATTATTCCGTCCAACGACTAGGAGCCTTAATCATGTCAGATCCTCCGACATACACCAATGAAAGAAGGAAACTAGGTTAAAAAATGCAAAAGTTTTATCTTGTCTGCATATCATAGCGAGTAACATTAGTTAATCACTTAATAATTCTATAATACGAATAAATGTTTAATAATATTTGTAAAAGAATAGATAAATATTTCAAATTAAGTTATATAATTTGCATGTATACAATATAAACATGCAATGGATAAAACTCAAAATACATCGTTTATATAATTTCAACTACTGTGACACATCATCTATATGAAATACTGCAAAGGTTCATATTTACAAAGAGATCGAATCTCCAGGAAGCATAAGGTGAAGAGGGGGGGAGTGGGAAGAGGCGGATGGTTGTCGCACAGGCCATTCTTTCACTATTCAAAATGATAAAATTATTGAAAGTGGCAGGGGCCGGGGGAATAAATTCAGGCCCGTAGCCTGATAAATATTTGATCAAAAAAGACAAATTGCTTGATGGTTCCGACACTACTACGACTGACAATGGTATCAAACCACAGCGGGCAACACAACGGATGCAGTATCAAGATGCTTTAAAAAGACAGGAGTACCAGGTGACATTGGAAAAAAAGACGTTCCAAAGCAACCGAGAATAAAATTTCCAGCGAGGTCTGGTCGCCATTTTAGTAACAGCTGGTATGATCGATTTCCATGGCTGGATTATTCAGTGTCAAGGAACGCCCCTTTTTGATTTCCATGTCGGGTGTTTCACAATACATCTGCGGGTGCATAAAAATTCATCACTGAAGGCTACACAGATTGGAAGCATGCTGTAGGTTGATACAGAACAGCAGGATTCCAATCTTGTTCTTCAAAAACTAAAATACTCCATGAAAGTCTGTTTCCCGACGTTTAATCGTCTGTCAAGGTGCTTTGCTAAATTGCCCCCCTCGATTGCACAAAATATGCATAAAGATAAAAAAAATAAATATAATTCAAGGAAAAACGAAAACTAAAAGGGTTAAAGGGATAATATTAAAGTGATTACAGTCTTTCATTAAAAGCATTTAATTATCTTTTCGACCAACATTATTTGTGTGGACTCGTAGAATGTAATTCACCAGTGGTAAAACAGTTTTATCATCAGTTTGGTAAGTAATTCGATAGGTTTTTGATGCTGATTGTATTACTAATGTATTTCTGCCTTTACCTGAAATATTGTAAATGTAATTTTGTCTATAAGGATCAAATTTGATATCGTAGTTTTCATGAAGCACATGAAGTTTATCCTAGAGTGCCAGAACACGCTGAAAGATCATGATAGCATGTCAGTAATATACGCAGCTGGAAGAAACTTAGGGACATACAGATCTTAATCATGCATTTGCAGCTCAAAAACATCAAATTTTAAAGTGAAGGGCAACTCCAAAACCCTATCAACAGGCACATGCATACCAGGTGGCATCAAGCAGCTGCCGCCTATATCTTGGTAACAAGCCAAATTTGACGAGGAAATTAACTCAAACACCGTTCATCCGATTGTTACTGACATCGAACTTGACAGAAAGATCGGATAAAAACTGTAGCATCTATCGTATCTACAAGCCAAATGCGACTCATGTTTTACAAATTCGAACTTGACAGACACTTAATCAATATATACATGCATACCAAGTTTCACAAAGATCGGATAAAAACTGAAGCCTTCATTATGGCTACCACATATGAGAACAGTCGGACGGAACTGCCGAGGGATTGTAATATACTCCTTTTTATGTGAGCTTATAAAAACGAATGGTGCACTCCAGCACTCATATTTTTTCTTATCAGAAAATTATACAAATGCTTTTGACTGTCTACGATAGGTCTTTAAATCTCTATAAATCTTGTTAGCTATTGGCTGAGAACTAGACCATTGACCTGTCACAATATTGATATTGAGAGATTTAACAGAGACGCAAGCAACGTGGAAAATGATTGTACAAGTATGTTTGTATTTATCAGAACAATGCATCAAGTTTAGGACTTCGCTTACGCTTCGTACCTTGTTTGGTATGAACGTTTTTGACATCTTTAAACCTGATCGATCTTCTTCCAATCTGTATTGTGCCGCCGTTTCTATCAACAGAAACGTCAACGCCACTAAAGCCAATTAAGCTCTTCTTCTTAAACAAACCTATACAAAACAATAATAAGTCTGAAAACGTATGACAAATTTTTATGATATGTCGAAAACACGAGGAAATAAGAGATTGAGATACTCGCGAGACAAATCGTTTTGAAATTTGTAATTCAATTTCAAATTAGTTGTGGTATCTAATATGATCACGGTCACTAATTCAACTCTTATTTTCATATACCCACGTAAAATATGTCACAATGGTATCACACTTTCCGGGAACAAAAATATAAAGTTGGAACTTATTGGAAGGGAGGTAACTCCATTATACAGCTTCAATTTACGTTGCCATCGATACTTTTATTTTGTATAATTAGGTATTTTGTAGCCGAAACCTTTAACTTTCTTGTAAATCCTCTATAAATCATTCCATATTTCGAAAAGTGAAACGTAAATTTCCAGGTAATGGAGGTTATAATACAGTTGGTGCTTGCTTCAAGTCTCAATATGAAATATAACTTAAATCAAACATTGGAGATGATATGTTTCTCAAATATAACGAACGGTACGTTACCTGCGATATTGGGTTTAAATTTGTCTTGAAGTTGTTGTATAGTTGTGTTAGGATTTGAGGATACTGTATGTAACATCGTCATCAAAGCTGAAACAAACTCGTCAGCATCATCTTGATCATAGAGGTCGCCTCCCAACATCAATCTAAATGTAGTTGTATTGGCTATCCTATCTACCAATATTTTCAAAACTGCCTCAACTCTTGTATACGGATTTTCACCCCCAATTTTCAAATCGGAATTTGCATCTTGGGCCAACCGATTCAATTCACTTACAAAAGTAACATCATTGAGAATAATTTCATGTCTGTGTAGATCTTTATTTTGTCCTTCTGGGATAAGTTTCACTATTTCTGTGTATGGAAACATGCCGTGTTCGATTGTTTTACTGATGTCCTCCGTGTTTGTTTTTAGAAATTGCTTGAAGGTTGTAGTTGATTCTGGTATGTCGGCAAATATTGGTATGTGGTTTGAAATGCATTCTATTCTATCCAATAACTGAACAGAGTACTGTCGTAGATCTACTGTGGAAATGACGAAAACTCTTTGAGATTTAGATCGTATACTCAGTAAAAGCTGATAAATTGTCAAATATAGCCTAAATGTACTTGTACCGATGGATTTGGCGAGCGAGTCACATAATTGCTGGGTATCTAGCGGCAAAAATTTTTCGCAAACGTCAGCATGGTCTTTCTTCGGAAAATAGTCCCTGTTTATATCTAGTGTGACTCTTGGAACACCTTTCTTAATCTGTTGTGACCAAAATTCGTCAAGAGCTTTTGTTTGCTGGTCGAAATATCTTATTTGGTCTAATATCTTACACACTGATGTCTGATGCTCAATGGGCTTTGGAAGACTTTCTAGAGATAAATGCTGCTGAACATGTCCAATACAATTCACGAAATCCCTCAAAAACAAATTAACACCCATTAAGTCAAACCCCACGTGACTTAATACTATGCTTAATCTCGTACTGTTCTTATCCAGGACGAATGTAAATCTGACTGTTCCTTTGGACCTGGTATCAAATTTATCAAATTGTCTTCTACTAAAGATCTTTTCAATATTAGGTTCGTCCGCTTTAACTTCACAAATGTCTAAAGCACTCTCTACATCTAAGAAAGATTTTTTTACATCTGTCCTTTCTTTTGGTGAGTCTCCGTGCCAATCATATACCGCAGTACAGATAGGATTACGTATAACCACTGTTTTGATTATATTAATGAGCATGTCCTTGTCCAAACGAAGATTGCCAAAATATAAATCTATCACATGATAGTTGGATTTATATGTCGGTAAGTTATCTAATTGTAAATATCTTAATTCTGGAAATGAAATTCTGCTTTCATCAAAAACATCATCCTGGTTTTCAACAATTGCTACGTGGATATTGCTGCCACCATATTCCTTTCCGATAAATCTAGCTAACGTTAAGACATTTGTTTCAGGGTCAAATAGTAAATTAAGTGGTATTTTGACTGCGATATCTTTCTTCACCTGGTTTACCAATGTCATAGCTAACATCGAGTCCATACCAGCATCTATCAGACTTGTTGTAGGAGTAATCATAAGGTCTGCCAGAGACAAGATTTTTCTAATCAGTTTTAAGACATAAGCTTCTATGATTCTTGGTCTTTCTACTTCATCAGCATCTTTCAGAGTGTCTATTGGAAATGGTGTTGATGATGTTGAATTAGTATTATGTTCAGTAGCTGTGTTTGGTAGAATATGGTATAATCTATGTTTAGTGAATTGGTCGGAATTCAGGTCAATAACATCTCTCAGTTTTTCCATATCAAACTTAGTAATCATAATTTGTTTTTTATTAGATAAAATAGCAGTTTCAAGACAAACATCTATTTCGTCTTTTCCAATCAATTGGTAACCAGTACTGGATATAGTAATTCTTGTTCTATCATTTCCCTTTCCCTTTTCTAACATTCCCATATCCAATGGTCCCCAGTTCAACGTCTGTATAGGTAGGGATAATTTTTTTCTTACAGATATTAAACTGTCCTGAAAAGCATTCCCAACACCATAATTACTTTGTCCAGGTGCACCAAGGACAGCTGTGATGGATGAATGTAGTATAAAGAAATCAAGATTCATATACATGGTAGCCTGATGTAAATTCCATGCTCCGGAAATCTTTGGGTTGAAACATTCTGTCATCTGTTCTTCAGTCATTTTAAATAGAGATGAGTCTCGTGTTACACCAGCACCATGAAGTACACCTTTTATGGGAACATCGGGATAGGTCTTGTTGAATGTACGTATAGCTCCAGTAACAGAACTAAGATTCACTACATCTACTGAATAACATTCTATGGTACAAGATGTTGAACTGGACAATTCTTCAATTGATGCAGTGTCCTCTTCATTTGGGGTTCTTCTGTTAAAAATTAAGACATAACCAGCTTGATGTGTGGCCAACCACTGAACACATTGCCAACCTAAACCAGTTAGACCACCAACAACAATATATGCACTGGTTTTACTTAATAATCTTCTCGGTGTCAAACGGATAGGAACTTCTAATCCACTTTTGTCTTGAAGATCAAGATGGGTCATGGTGAATATTTTTTGTAATGGGCCTTGTAAATTTTGGGAACAATTTCTAGGGTTAATAGTATTTTGAACGTTTTTTTTAAGCCATTTGGAGATAGCATGCCGAATTGCAGCACTGATATTATTTTGTGAAAAGATATCGTTTTCGTTTACATCATGTATCTTAATCCTGGAAAGTCGAGTTCTTAAGATTGCTGCAATGGTAGTCGGTAAGAGACTTGAAAAGGCATAAATCTTTATGATGAAATTTTTTCTCATAATGATATCTACATGTGATTTGTCTAGCTGCATAAAACAAATCATTTCTATCTCTTTCCTCTGTTGTGTTTCTGCTGATAATTCTTCTGGAGTAAGTAGTTTATATTCCACTTTTCTGTATCGTAGTAAGGATAGAAATAATTCCTCGTCAACACAATTTCTTTCTCGTAAAACTATTATCTTTTTAACTTTTACACTCGAAGCCAATGTCCAAAGACTGACAAGTGTTGAAAGTAAACCTGGCTTGTAGAATGGTATAGATGATAGAGGCATACAACAAGATATTGGAACCACTACCTTATTAGATGCTGGTACTGGAAAACATGATACCAGTAATTCATTTGGTTTCATAGATCGATATCCAATAGTTTCTATACAATATACAGGCAAACCTTCATCATTGGCTTGATAATGGTCAGCAACAAAAACTGGTAGAAACAATGAAGAATCCTGAAATACCAACTTGGTAACGTTTAACAAAACTGAACCTGGTTGTTCATGTAGTGATGTATTTCTTGTGTACAATTTAAAAACATCCTTTACTTCTGTTTCTGATGTAGAGAACAGATCAAAATCTGCATCACCAGTATCCGTAATTGATGGGTAATTCTTGCTTCCCGATTCCTCCATATAACGCAACTGGTAACCAAAAACACCTTCTGTAGTGAAAATCAACTCGCCATTATGTAACCAGTCAGAAGCCAGTTTGTCAAATACTATTAACAACTGTTCACTATCTGTTGTTCCTTCCAATTCACGGAGATCTACCAAATGAATATTTAATGTTCCTAATTCTCTTTGAATAGATCGTGCTCCTCCCCATAAAGATGAATGTATAATATTATCTGGTATCATAATTGTAGATTTACTGTTCATTTCATCTATAGTCCATGTAGTATAGAAAGCTATTAAAAGTCGAATTATATCATGTTTTTCATTAACTTCATTAATACATTCTACTACAACTTTTAACCATAATAAATAATCAGTTACAGCTCTCTGTATTTCAATTCCACCATAATTCTCATCAAAATCACTATTGATAATTATGGCAACATATCTATATTCATTTAGTGTTTCTCTTAACTTCTCTATATCTATATTATTGTCAGTCAATGGAACAACAACATTAACCTCTTCATCTCGACTTGGTCGTTGTTTAACAGATACAGTCACAAACTTCTCTGATAGTTCAGCAGCGTGTGGTATGGGTGATATTAGTGACCAATATGGCTCAAAAAATATTTGTTGTTGATCATTTCCTTCTTTTCCTATGACTTTGGTGGTAAATGTCTCTATGCTAGCTATTGGTTCACCCGATTCCGCGAAAAGCAGCAATTTATATTGTATACTTGTTGTAGAGAACGATAACTTTGGCTGTACGTGTATATACATTTTCTTTTGTGTTCTACCATAAACTCTCAACTTGCTAATTTGAATGGGTAAGGTATGAAACGCTTCTATATCAGAAATTCCGAGTGCACCGGGTGCCTGAAGTAAACTGTCGATAATTGCAGGATGTAGAACCATTCCTTTCATTTCTTCCCATAAAATGTCGTTAATATTTAATTCAACCAAGGCTTCTTTGTCATTTCTAACCGAATCATGTAGTATCGACATAGTTTTACCATAAGAGAAGCCAAACCTTCTAAGATCTGCATATATTTCTTCCCCTGTCTTCTGAATGTTACATCGTTGTTCAATACTTTTTACATCAATTACTGGTACGTGCTTATTAAAACAACTATTAATGCTGCCTTCACAGTACACGTGTGATCCTTTGTAAACTGTAAAGTCGGTCTGATCACCATGTTCTTCTATTGTAGTATCTAGCTGCTTTGATTCGAGATTGTAAATGAGAAGTGGGCTTTTAAAATCAACAGTAACTTCTCGAAATGAAATACTTGGTGACTTTAAGGCTGCTAGAGCAAGACCCACCTCAGCATACAGTGCGCCCGGAATCACTACCAATCCGTTTACTTTATGTTCATAGATAGACGCAAGCTTACTCGGATCAATAAAAATCTGAATGTCCTTCGTGTCCGAATCAAGCTGTTTCACAAACGGATGGTATTTGGACGCTTGATCAACACCCAAAAGTTTCTCTTTACCAGATGTGGGTAAAAACAAATTGTCTACTCTATTAAACTGATATTTTGGATAATCAACGACATTGGCTTTAAAATTGTCAAAATTTGTCCATTTCAAATCCAATCCATGGTTATAGAAATTACAAACAGCTTCTGTGACACAATCCACTTCGTCATTTTTCTTCATAATAGGTATGGAATCAAACAGTACTTGGTCAGGGAATATGCTTGGTAGATGAGCTCTCAAAATTGGTCTGGGTCCTAATTCAACAAAAATATTATATTTAGTAGGATCATGGGCTTCAAGAACAGCTTGGTAGAGTTTAACTGGTTTTCTGATGTTATCCGCCCAATATTGTGGTGTAATAAAATCGCCTTCTTCTGCCTTGACACCACTAACAGTAGAAAATATATCAATCTTTGGTTCTTCTCCAATTATTTTAGCACAACTCTTCATCTCGTCTGCACTGTTAGACATATGATGAGAATGAAAAGCACTAGTAACATTCAGATCTTTAAACATACAACCTGTATTAACCTCTTTAATATCTTCTTTTAATTTGTCCACTACATCTTCATCACAACTTATAGTACAGCTCATTGGACTACTGTAAACTGATACATTAGCTTGTGATTCGTATTTCTCTAAAATCTCTTCTACTTTATCTATTTCAATATTTTTAGCAACAAACATTTTACCACCAGTACCTTGAACCTGTACTCTTGTTCTGTGATAAATAATATACACAGCTTGTTCCAGAGTGACGGTACCAGAAGCAAAGGCAGCAGCTACTTCACCAATAGATTGTCCAATGATAGCATCGGGATTAATTCCAAAACTTTCCACTAAAACAAACAACGCTACCTCACATGCAAATGTCATAATTGGAGCGATGTTAGCATCATCTAAATCAAATCCATTTTGAAGATTTTCCATTAAGTTCCAGTTAGCATATCGTTCAAGATATTTGGAAATGTCTTCAATGACAGAACGAAATACTTTAAATCTTTTTAGCATTTCCTGACACATTCCATGCCAATTTGTTCCTAAACCAGCAAAAACAAAGATATACTTCTTTCCTTTAGCTGGCTGGTATTTCACCATCACATGTTTGTCGACATCAGTACCTTCTAGAATTTTCAGAACTTCGGTGGCATGTTGACCAGCTACAGCCAGACGGCATGGATAATGATCTCTTCTATATATTGATGTATATGATAAATCAGCAAGTTGCAGGTCTTTAGCGTTTTCACACATAGCGTCTTTGATCTTTAGTAAGGATAGTATTTCCACTGCAGAGATACAGACGATTTTTTTGTTCATCTGATCAGTTGGAGTCAGTATTTTTTTTGATCTTGGTGTCGTAACAATTGCATGGCAATTACTTCCGCCAAAGCTAAAACTATTTACTGATGATCGCAAAACATCTCTGTTGGTATCAGGCCATGGACTTGGCTTAATTGGCACTTTAAATTTAAACTCGTCAAGTGGAACGTCTGGACTAGGTCTTTCAAAATGGAGAGAAGGAACGATCTGTTGATATTTGTGCATTAATAAAACTTTAATCAGACCTGCTACACCAGCTGCCGATTCGAGATGACCAATGTTTGTTTTTACGGATCCTATTATTTTTGGTGTTGAATTTTCGTCAGTCTGGAAAAATGTCCCAAGAGCTTTTACTTCAACAGGATCCCCTGCTTTAGTTCCCGTTCCTGAAATAAATGAAAACAGTAAAAAATATAATGACAATGGTGGTTAATCGACAAAATACAGATTTTATTAATGCTATTGTTGAAGTTGAATCATTTATTCTAGATAAACTAATAAGAGAAATCACGACATTGTTCTGAGAGAAACACAACACATTGGAATTTACATACCATGAGCTTCAATATAATCAATACTCTGAGGATCAACATCAAATCTTTTAAATACAATATTTAATAATTCTATTTGTTGCTGCATAGATGGTGTAGTTATTGGCGAGACTGTATGACCATCATGATTAGAAGCTGTGGATATTGTCGCCCAGATCGGATTGTTATCTTCTATAGCCTTGAATTAAGAATTTTGAAAAAAAAATATTCGATAGGACAAGTTAGGCAAGTAATATATGCACACATCCATGTTTTCAGTCTGTCACATCGGATTGCGACCATATATATTCGAAATGTCCCACATCGCAGCAAATTTGAAATCGCGAGAAAATTTCTACAAATATATACCACGTTCATTGAGTGATTTCGAACCGTCCTGTAGCCTGAAATATGAAACAAATGCTACGACGTTTGTGAAACGACCTTCCTGATTCACTTGTCGAAACTAAATGCCAATTTCTCGTCGTTATAGCAGCGCAGTAAGGATGCCTTTCCGGTGTGAAGGGTGTATTATTTTCGAGCATTTGCAAGACAAACGATTCACACGTATTACAGTACATTATAATATGTTCTATTCTATATTTGTAGGTTCAAGACTGCTTACACCCAAACATTTGAATATTTTGATGATCAGGTGTAATTATGTATCACAATGTTCTACTAATAAATACATTCACCATGTTTCCTGAAAATTCTTCAAGAATGGCAAAGTGAAAGGGTATTTGCGATGTGATAATAAACATTATTGATGTCTTCTACTGGTTTACAAGCAATGACTTTTGTTCTTGATAAGTTGAATAGCAGTTATAATGTAATAGTTATAATGTAAAAAGTCTCACTTTGTGGATTCAACCATTTGTATTTATCTTTTCAGTTATTAAACAATCTTTTAGAGGGGAATTGCCCTATTTTTAGTTTAAAACACTCTACTATTGAAAATACATATTACACATATACATCTAGACTTATACTTAACTGACCTTTTCATATGATTTTAAAATGACAATTCCACACCCTTCACCTCGAGCATAACCATCAGCATTCTCAGAGAAAGCTTGACATTGTCCTGTTGGTGATACCATACCAGCTTTACTGAGCTGGATGAATATGTCTGGTTTAAGTAGACAGTTAACTCCACCAGCAATACACATATCACATTCACCTGACAAAAAACAACAACACCTGTAAATTGTAGGTAAATCAGGAATAGTTTCATAGCAGAAACATATATCTCAGAGTTCCACGAATTTTCGGACCTCTTCTCTGAAAGATAGCTTTCCATGCAAGGTAACATACGCCCACTGGCAGCTTTCAGATATGATAGCAGTCTTCTCGTGACTAAAATATAAATTTTCAAGATCTTCAAAAATATGATGTGTAATTGAGTTCATTAATATATCATCAATTTACTGTCAGTTATTCATACTGAGTTTTTTCACAAAATCTTTTCAAATCAATAGCAATAACCTAGAAACATTGAATTTTCACACTCCTCTCTTAAATTTCCAAAGATATATACTCTGACTAAAAAACTAAAAAAACGTTCATCTATAATGACCCAAATTAGACCTTGACCAAGATCTCCTCCATTTATACATTCATAGCAAGATTTTATAAATTCGAACTTGACCGAGATCTTATCTTTATATACATACACAACAAATTTCATTAAGATCAGATAATAATTGTAAGCCTTATTATGTTTGCACGCAAAATTTGACTTAATCAAGATCAATAACTCAAAACCCGTTCATCTAAAATTAGCCAAATCAGACCATGATCAAGATCTCATTAATATATACATGCATATCAAGTTTCATCAAGATCGGCCTCTATCGTGCCTACAGGCCAAATTTGACCTTTTTTACTAAGTCAAAGGCAATTACTCTGAAACCGTTAATCCGATTATCATAAATTTAAACTTAACCGAGATCTCATCAATATATTCATGCATACCAAGTTTAATCTAAGATCGTATAAAAATATGTAGTCCTTATCTTGCCTAGCATGGAATGTGAACTGGCGGACGGACGGACCGTCCACATTTCGATGTGGGCGTATAGCAAGTGATAGAAGGTTGCATTTCGTGATTTAACATGGAAAAAGCTGGCAAATCAGTTTAATTTCTATTTTTAACAATAAGTATACAAATATGATGTTATTCTATTTAAAGGTGTTCTCTTACCTAATAAAATAGCTTGGTGGGCGCTATGTATGGCTATCAGTGATGAAGAACAAGCTGTATCAATAGTTATTGATGGTCCACGTAAATCAAACGTATAATTAACTCGTGATGAAACGATGCTGTCATTTGTTCCAGTTACTGTGTAGTTGTCAAAGTCCAGCACACTTGTAGCGAAATTAGAAGAATAATCGCTATTCATTACCCCTGAAAATTACACACAGGGAAAGTGAACTCATCGACTCAATTATAAGCCAAGAGATTACCTATTGTAAACAACCCTTTTAGTATTATAAATGATAGTTCCATCTGTGTGCCCATGTCCCTCGAGGGGAGCATGAGTAGCTTCTCAGCCAATCTGATAAATTGTGTCAACAGCTTGTTGTCCTTACAGGGCCCTTGTCGACAGTAACGTATCCACTACTTCCAATTAAATAGCGATGTGTGGAACAGGATCTCGCGTTTGAGGTAGAAATTGGCTTTAAATCCTCAAAGTGACAACTTAATTATTCAATTGTTTTGTCTAACGAATTAGTGATAATTATAACACATAACACAGGTTGTAATTGGGTTGTATTGGAATGTTTGTCGAATTTGTAGTCACTCAGTGACGTCCATCTTTACAATTTGGAACTCATATCCCCTATATACCTACCAATATAAACGCCAGTATTGGATCCCTTGATTTCTTTTCGTGTTATTCCTGCACTTTCTAAAGCCATGTATGTCGAATCTAATATAAATTTATGTTGAGGATCCATTCGTAAACTTTCAAATTCGTTGATACCATAAAATTTATAATCCCATTTCTCAAATCTTAAAAAAAAACCATCGAATTGTATAGATACTACCAGAGCTAGTCCGTGTTTAACAATAGCCTTATAGGATGCTGACAAATCAGTAGACCTATATTAAAATTCTTATTAATCAATTATGTCATGAATATAAATAAACCAAAAGGATATTAACGATCCGAACCTCAAAACGAAACCCTAAATCCAAAACAGCATTTTGGCGTTGCTTCAGCAACGTAATTACTAAAACATGAACCGACTTGAAAGGACTAGTAAACGAATGCACATTTTCTTACATGTTCGGCCTGATTAGCATGCTTACAATTCGCCGCAAAATATTTTGAGATATTTTCACGTTTTCGTTGGTCGTTTTCTGGTTATTTCTTGTCGTATCATGTCGATTCATGTTTTAGTGGTAGGCCTATCAGGTGTCTAGAAGAGTAAGCATACCGTGCTCGGTGCCAAACCCAACATACACAACAAACACGACAAATAGGGAGGAACATTTTTGAAAAAAAAGACTAAACTGAATAATTTTAATAGTTCAAGGGAGGTAATTATTGAAAATGCTTTTATATAATTTTAACAGTTCAAGGGAAGGAACTGATCACAGAAGTTATATCATGACATATAACTGATCATGATTAGAAAACAATATTACAAAAGCCATCAAAGATAGTTTGCTATGCAAGGAAACAGCTGTCAGAAATAAGAACAGTCTTTAGTGACTAAAATTAACTTATTTTAAAGAGTTTCTTAATACATTTGTAGTTATTTATTATATAATATATTTAATTCATATAATCTTTTTCAATCAATGGCAATCTATGGAAGGCGGAATGGCTTTTTATTCAATATTCTTAACTCTTAATTCTTATCTCTTAATTTGTACGCTTAATTTAAAATTTGTAATTGAAAATAGACATATGTATACAAAAACATAATTTGTACTGAAAATGAACATTCTTCGATGAACATTCGATAACATATCTTCAAATACAAAACAAACACTCTACCAACAAATTTTCATGTACAAATTTCAATAACAAATCTCGCTATACAAATCTTGCGAAACATTTCTCCAAATACATATCAAATATATTTGAAGGTCGTGATAATGACGACAGATGTCGCTGTACAACCAACATTAAATAAGATACACACTATAGATAGCCTCTATCATCCAGTTCACAGCATTAAATAAGTGACTTATAGATGTTACATTATCGAATGGTGATTCGGACTAATGTTATCGACTGTACTTATGGTCTGAATCAACATAAACTCTGACTGATTCCCCTTACATACGAACGCCATTTTATCCCGTGCTTGTGCACGCCCTTGGCAGTCCACCTTTTGTATTCATACCTATTGTATCTAAGTTGCTGTTCTGATTAAACCTTAACTTCCTTATGACTTGTCAATCATAAAATCATAACAATAGCCATCAAATAATCATAGTCCCAGTTTTTTAAAAATATTCATGCAAATGATTTTGTCGTGAATTGTAGGCCACGGTACTGTCTTTGCAAGTACATTGGTATATCGCATTTTACCGATGATTTTTAAATTACATTTACTAATATGATTCCTAGGATTAATCTTTAAATGCTATATAAAAAAAAGTAACCGATAATCGAAGTAGTTGGAACCTGAAAATAATTATTAAAACACACAAGAGAATTTCTTCTTGAACTTCCTTATGACTTGTCAATCATAAAATCATAACATGGTGTCAGAAGTGCTAAAACTTTAGAACTTGAGTTATAATTGAAGATCTGTTCGTAATATTTTCCATCGAAATTGACGAAAGATGCCAAAATTCAACCCATCGCAGTTCAACTTTACCAAACCAATAGATTGGCCACAATGGAAAAGAAGATTTTAGAGGTGCTATACAGGTCAGTTCTCTGATATATGCCATGGGGAATGAAGCGGAGAACATCTTCAGTTCCTTCACTTTTGCTGCCGGGGAAAGCGACGAAGACTTTAATACTGTTTTGCAGAAATTCGAAGCTCATTTTATCCCAAAGCTGAAACACATACACGAAAGAGCCGTATTTAACTCTTCAAAACAACAAGAAGGTGAATCTACAGAAACCTTAATCAGACACTTGTATGAGATGGCTGAAAGGTGTAACTATGGACAGGAGCAAAAGAAAGACTAGACCTGTTCGACACAGATCTGTCAGCTTCCGAGCTGTTTTACGTTATATGTATTGGGCTTAAACATAAGTTCTATTTAAGGATTTAATGCAGATATTTTTGCGTTTATTAATGCAAGATTTTTAGCAGTGACAATTCGATGTCCATCAACTTTATTGACAGTAGAAAGATTCCCGTACCAACAGATATATTTGAAAGGTAATTCCGCGGTTTGGAATGTCTGGCCCAATGCCAAAAATGTTTTAAATATTACAGTTTTTGCTGGGTACTCTGACAACAATTACAACTGATTTTCAATGACCACGCCCACATACCCCTTTTCTGATATAGATTTTAGTACCCTGTTTTGATTGACAGCTGTTGTTGTACTGTTTTAAGTTTATGGCCCCATAGTTAACACCTGCAATTATTGACTTGTTGACCTGTCACATAATCCTTTTAACCCTTTGTAAAATAATTATCTTGCCTACTTAAAATGGATTTTATTTTATTTTTTCGATAAATTTTGATTCTGAATAATGATTTATATATTGTCTTAAAGCTGTGAATTTTCACATTATATTCCTGTTTTAAAAATTTTACTAGGTGCGCTAGAACTCAAACAAGAGTTTTAATAAATATTAAAATGACATATTTCAAACCTGAATATTTCAAGAAGTAAATGTCCGAAAACTTATTTTAACATATCATTTAAAAGCTTGTGGCGAGCACATTGCAATGACACCATCCCGATTGTTGAGAAAGCACAAGTTCTACTGATATAATTCTCTGAATATGGGAAATTTAAGAAAATTGTTCATTTTCAAAACCCCATAAAATCGAAAGTAATTTACCAAAATTACAAATGTTGGTATCAAATGAAAGTGTAGCCAAAGAAGATATTGCTGCTGAAAGTTAAAGGTTGCAGAAGGTCATGGTCAAAAGTTATCGGCCTATATATACTAGGCCTATCATAAAAAGCTTTGAATGAAGGTTGTGCAAAGACAAATTCGAAATTCGAAATTCAAAAAAAGGGCTTCTACGGGACTTACATATTTTTCAAAAGTACAATTTAAAACAAATTTAAAAAAATCGGATTAAAAATGACAGACGAGTAGTATTTTTCCGATATTTTACTTTTTTTAAAGATGGCGGTTAGGAATTTGCATTCACAGCAAATGTACAAAATGAAGATATTAATGGTGCAAATTTCATGAAATAACAAATTTGCAACTTTTTGCAAAAAATAATCCAAAAACTCAGATTTTTGTGATTTTCGTCATTTTTTGGAAATTTCCCAATGTTTCGGACAAATTTCAGAATTATTTTTTTGGGGAATATTAATTGATAATTTGGGTTCTACCCATCTACCAATTTTTCGTGCAAATCGAATCAAAATTAAAAAAATTTGAATTTTGACCAAAATTCGGTACAATAAGTTATAGACAAAATTTTCGAATTTCAAATTTCTGACACCGCAAACTATTCAGAAGTTCTTTCAAGATTAGGCACAAAAAAAAATCACAAAATTCAAACAATTATTAATCAATTTATGGCCGTTTTTCAAAACTAAGGAGTTTTTCGCCAGACCGCTTCCGGTCGGAAACTGATGGCTGGAAATTCAAAGGTCTAAGCACTAGGTCTGGGATATCTGACGCTATGCAAAAAATGTTCTAAGTATAAAAGTTTTTGCTAGCAACTCTGACAACAATTACAAAAGAAAACTAGAACTGTTCAAATAACAGTACTGATGCAGGGCGTGTTACGACATTCAGGTACATACGGAGATGGTCTATTGCAATTACATTGATGTAAATACTTTTCTGCATCTCTAAATGAAAATATGCGAAAGTGCGTGAAATTTAAATTATATTGACTAAGAATAAGAGAATGTTTGTCAATTAGTAAAGACCAAGTTTGATGAAATTCGGACAAGAAATAAGAAAGTTAGTAATGTGCATGCGCACAAGAAGAATTCAATATTTCCATCAAATTGAGAATTGGATAATACACATACATATCAAGTTTGATGAAATCCGGATAAGAAATACGAAAGTTGGTACTGCGCATGCGCACCACGCAAATTCGATATATTCATCAAATTTCGAATTTGATTATACACATACATATATACAAATTAGGGATTAAGATACAGCACTGCAAAAGTGCAAAATTGGCCATATTTAGACCCCTATAAAGCCAAAAGGTGTGGTATGACCCCAAAGGTCAAAAGGTCATAAGAAGGTCAAGGTCAGCTATTATCATCATGGTAAATATGAAGCTCATCAAAGATCAAGGTCACGAGATATGAGCCTTCAAATTTCGAAAAAGTTTAAGCGGAAATTGCAAAAAAGCAAAAACGAAATTCAAAAATCGGCTTCCTAGAGTTTTCTTAAATTTTTGTGTTCTTTCATTTGACACCAAAATTATCAAAATCGGATAAGCCGTAATCTCTGAATAAAATTTTGGATAATTTCAGAAAAATCAAAATGGCGGCCAAACTATCAATTTTCGTGTCTAGTAAATGCCTCTGTTTTTTTAAAGTCATAACGTTATCTACTTATTAGTAGAAGCTAGCACCTTGATTTCGCACCAACCGGAAGTGATGCAAAATTTTTGATTGTGTCAATTTGTTTTCTTTTGTGATCTGTTTTCGCACCAGAGATTTCAAATCAATCGGACGCATAGCGGAGAAAATAGAAAATATGGTCAAATTTTGCAAAATTCGGCTAAAAATTCGAATTTTTTTAACTGCTATCACATAGGATATTCGGGTGAAATTCTAAAACTGAAAACCCGCGCAAAATCACCCAAAATTGCGCCTTCAAGAGTCAATTATCTACTTTTTGCATATTTTGCAATGTGCCACTATCCGTT